CAAATCAAAGCCGAGCTCCTGTGAAGGTGCTGCGGGAGGGGTCCCCAGAGCTTCCCCCCAAAACCTCGCAGCTGCGGCAGGGGAATGGCTGGAATTTCCTGCCCTGGCTGCCTTGGCTGAGGCTTGTGCGGGCACATCCAGGGCACTTCACATCCCGGGGCAGGATCCGCCTGCTCTCACCCCCCGGGATGGGTTCCTGGGGATGGACACGCTCCCAGCACAGCGCAGAATTCCCGGGATGAGCTCCCCATGCCAGGGATGATGCTCTGGATCAGTAATTCCCCATCCCGGGGCTCCTCACCGCGGCTTTCCCTCACTGCCCGCATCCAGGAGATGCAGACGGATATTCTCTGCTGAGGGATGGGATTTTCTTGGCCGCTTCCCAGCCGGCACCACGGCTCCAGCCTGGGGGGGGGAAAAATCTCTGTGTGCTGCTTCTCTCCAGCTGCTTCCCGCTGCCGTGGATGCTCCATGCGGGAGCGACGTGCCCTGTGTACACATCCCTTTCCCCAGTCACGCTCCGGTGACTAATTCCCTCCTGATGGGCACGTGGAGCCTCATCCGTGTCCGTCTTCACAAATAAATACGTTTATTTCTCCTGGAGGTCGGACTGACAGCGACTTCCCCAAATTCTCCGGCAGCTTCCGTCCGAGTTCCTCCTCCAAAATCGTGCTTTGTGCTTCAAAAATCATCCGGGCTCTCAAAATCTTACGGTTTTAAGGAGGTTTTGGGGTTGTCTTTCCTTGTAGCTTTTTTCTTGATGGAAGGTTTGCTGTTCTGGGATGTGCCCGGGTTGGGTTTGGTTTCCTTCATCAACTTTCCCCATCATTTAAAGCATCCACACTTAAAATCCTACAGTTTAAAGGAACTTTCTAGGTTATCCTTCCCTTTTATTGTGTCCTAAAGGTTTCCTTGGTAAAAGAGATGCCGCTCTGGGATGTGCCCAGGTTGGATTTGGTTCCTTCCAACCATTTTTTCCCCTTGCTCAGTGTTGGAAAGCTTTTTGGATTTAGATTGGATAAAGGATTTAGAGCTGATCTGGCTCCCTTGGAGCCTTGAGCTTCATTCTTGGGCTCAGCACCACCTTCCCAAGGGATCACAATGCTCCCAAAAGCCTTGGCCTGGGATTACCTCCTGGATCCACACCAAAAACTGAAGGAAAAGGCTGTTCTGGCACTTTGGAAGGATGGGATTGAACAGGAAGATGCTCCCACTATGAAAAATCTGCTTTTTAAAGCTGCTTCTCAATAACTGTCCCATCAATCCTGGCCAGGCTGAGCTTGCTCCCTGAATACCCTGAGCTGGAAGGGACCCACAGGGATCAGGAAGTCCAAGTCCATGATGCTCTCAAGGGATTCTATTTAATGTCTGTAAACTGGAAATCATCCTCAGCAGAGCACAGACCCTACCTGGAAATCCAGGGAGCCCATCCCGGAAAGACGCTCCTTGGGAAGCAGAGAACATCCTGGTGCCAAAAGCATCTCCGGGTGGTTGTGGGGTGAGCGAGGACTTCCCAAGCCAGATTTCCATTTTTGGAGGTCGGAGCAGAGGCATTTCCTGCACTTCCTGGGCTGAGGGGGCTGGGACTCGCAGTTAATCATTGACCGCGGGTGCAGCCGGGGCAGGAATGTCTTTGTCCAAGTGGAGCAGAAGTCTCATTTTTGGGAGATGCCGTAAACTCGCAGCAAAGGGAGAAAAATGCGATTCCTGCTGTGCCGGGGCAAAAGCTGCTTTTTTGCTTTCCTGACCCGTCCTGGTTGTCTTTGATTTGGAAACATCCAAAGGTCACCGCGGTGTCCACTCTGCCGATTCATCATGACAGTGGGATGGGAAAACATGGGATGAGGCTTCCCAAACATCCCACGCTGGCAGCAGAGGGAAAGCCCCGTCCCTCATCCCTCCGTGCCCCTTTCCAGACCTGAAATGAGCTGGGATGGAGCAAACCCCACCTGGGGCTCTGCCTTCGCTGAGGGATTTCTCATCCCGAATAATTCCTGGAGTTCCCAGCTCCAGCTTCCTTTGAGGCCAAGCCCCGGGGGCTGCCTGGAGCTTCGTGCCAGGCTGCTTTTCCCTTCTTATCCTCTGGATGAAAAAACGCCATGGGAAAGCACAAATTGCCTTTTTTCCAGGGAATATCCTCCCTGCAGCATCCAACTTGCTCAGCCTGGGTGGTTTTGGGGAGCACTGAGGTCTGTAGGAAGTGGGAAGGATCTGATCCCGCTCTGTCGGTCCCAGGGGTCTCTGGGCGCTTTTTGGGGATCCTTTTCTCGACATCTGCGAGGAACTGATAGCCCTAAAATCTGGAAGGCAGCACTTCCCCTCTTGCCACTCTTGTGACAAAGAACTCTGCAAAAAAACCCCAAAACCCCCAAGTTTCTGCCAGCTCGGGCAGCTGCAGGGAATTTACTGCATTTTGGGGAATTGGAGCTCTCTGGAGCCCCCTGCTCTGTGTCCTTACCACGCTCCCCACCGACCACCAGCATCTGGAGAAGGGAAAAATGTTATTTATTTGGAATTATGGAATGGTTTTGTTGGAAAAAAAAGAGACCTTAAAGCCCATCCCGTTCCACCCCTGCCATGCTTGCTGTAATTAATAAAACCTTTCCTTATATATCTCTTTCTAGTGTATTCATAACAATGGGCACCTTCCACTGTCCCAGGGTGCTCCAGACCCCATCCAAGCTGGCCTTGGACACTTCCACACCTTTCCAGGCTCAGTAGGGCACAATCTGAGCTTTTCCTGGCCTCCCCAGAGTTCAATCCTCCTCTCCCTCGGCCCATCCCAGCTGCTCTTTCCCTGGGAACCGCAATCCCCCGGGCATCCCCGCTCTAGATCCGTGCCAGGAGAGCCGTGCCAAGATGAGGGACCCACATGGGATGCATTAACTGGAGAGGAACCTTCACCCTGCTGGGAAAAGGCTCTGGATTAACCTGACCTTCAGCACCCAGTGTGACCAGGAAGAGCCGAGGAAACGTGGGATGCAGCGGCTGCGCAATCCCCTCTTGCAGGCTGGTGAGGACACGCTGGGACATTTCATCATCGCTCGCTCAGGATCAAACCAGTGCTCCCAAAATCCCTCTTTTATGGCCCTTGCCGGGCTGTAAATCTCCAGCTTCCACTGCTGGCGCCTTTGGGGGAAAACATCCGGCTCCAGCAAACTTCGATGCTCTCGGAGTGCGTCACTCCTGGATACGGGGCTCGCGCCCACGGGCAGAAAATCCATTGCAAAAGCAGAACCTCGGGATTTCGGGGTTTCTGCCAGGTCTTGCTCAATGTCACCGGAGAGGTCGGGGCCTCTTCCTGCACCCAGACATTCCAAGGGCTCCATCTCGGCTCTGGATCAGCACATTTGGCACCCTGGGCACGGTGGAGGGGGCTGGTGGCTGATGTGGACACCGAGATGTCCGGAGGGGAGGGAATGGTTGGGGTTCTGCACTTGTGTCCTCCTGGGGTGATGCTCCTTCTCCTTTCCTCCCTGGATTTGGGAGGCTGGAGGGTTGCAGTCACCCCGGCTGATAAAATCCCTGGGAGAGGGATCACAGCAGGCTTGGGGCTCTGGGAATTCCCTGTGGGAAGGTGCTCCAGGAGCCGAGTTCATCCCTGCCCAGCTGCTGGAGGGATGGGAAATGTCCCACTGGGGGTGCCCAGATCCGCAGGGGATGAAGCCCCGGAGATAAAGCTGAGGTTTCCCTGTGAGCCGCACCTGGGATTTCCTTCCAAGGTGGATGCTGTGGGAAGGGAAAACCAGTGAAATGGGGAGGGGATCTGGGGGGCTCCGTCCTGCAGAGCAGGGCAGCGGAGCCGGGGCCGGGACAATCCCCTCCGTGTGCCCCTGCTCATCCTCACAAAACTTCTCCCTTCCCGTGGTTCCGGGTGAAACACTCGCTCTCGGCTTTGCCTCGGGCAACCTGGTGAGAAACGGGGTGAGAAAAGCCGGGGCAAGGCTGGAGGCGAGCCCCGAGGGGGAGCGGGGGATAAAAGCCGTAAATCAGGGGATTAGCGCACGTTCAGCCCTGGCTGGAGCGCAGCTGAGCTCCAGGAGCTCGGATCAACTTCAGGACATCGGGAACGGCCTCGCCTGCCCCGGGGGGACCTGCCCGTTTCCTCACGCCACCGGCAGCTTCTCATCCCTCCGCTCCAAGCACCCCTGAGGAGAAGCCGGGAGAAGAGCGGTGCTGGGGCTCGTTCCCGCTGTGGATTTGCACGGTGCTGCCGCTGGATCCGAGCCACCACCGGGCGCTCCCGGCTCCATCCCCGCTGCCTCCCTTCGGGATGACGTAACCCCGGCCACGGTTGCCTCAGAAGGATCCAGGCTCGGGATGAAGCCATCCCTCGGCCTCACCTGGCCGCTGGGATAAGATCCAGTGCGGATCCTCCGGCCACGAGCCCGAGCTGCCGCCTCCCCAGCCCGTCCCTGATCCGCTGGGATTTTGGGAAGGAGCGGATCAGCCCCGCTCGATGGCGGCCACCCGACCCGCGAGGTGCCTGAGGATGCGGGGATGGGAAATCCGTGCTTGGGATGCTGCCCGCAGCGCTCCTGCCTCGCACATCATCATCAATCATCATCATCATCATCCCCTCTCCATCGCCCCTCCGCCACCGCCGCGGGGTGGAGGTGAGAGGGATTCCCCGAGCCCTGCCCTCCGTGGGGAAAACGGGAGGTAGAAGGGAAATGTTTGTGTGTGAAAAGGAGCATTCCGTGTTTTTTATCTCCGCAGCTGCAAACCAGCCTGAACATCCCCCGGCTCCAGCACTGCCGGAGCTCCTGCTGGAAATCCCAGGCGAGAGGAGAGATTCCTGCCGGGAGCTCTCCGGCGTCACTCTCCGGGGAGGGGGGACGGAGGGCGGGCAAAGTTCGCTCCTATAAAGTCAGGTCTGGTCCTCTTCATTCATTCCCCTGGCAGCACCGCCGGCAGCAGCAGCTCCGGCCTCTGCACAAGGATTGGGAGCAAACCCTGCCCCGGACCCGCCGGGTTCCTGCGGGATGCTGAGGCCGGCGATGCCGAGCGGGGCCGCCCTCACCTGCCTGCAGCTCCTGCTGCTCCTCTCGGCCGTGGATTCCCGGCCCCACACGAGGCACCAGGACAGGTTCCAGCTGGAAGCCGTCAAAAAGGAGATCCTGGAGCGGCTGGGAATGTCGGCTCCCCCCGTCCCCCGCCGCCCGCTGGACCAGGAGAGCATCCAGAGAGCGCAGCGGCTCTACCAGCTGAAAGTGGCGGAGCTGGCGGGGAACCGGAGCCGGGAGGGGGAGGAAGAGGAGGAAGCCGTGTCCGGGACCCGGCGGCTCCACCGCCTGACCCCCACCTGTAAGTGTCCGTGGCTCCGTGCCACCCCCCGAGCCTCATCCCCCCGGGACACCCGTTTGTCGCAGCGTGTCCCGCACTCGGGAATGTCACCCCGCTGCCCGGGGACATGACCGGGCATGCTCATCCTTATCCTGCTCCTTCCTTTGCCCTGGAAGTGGGGAGGAGTCACCGCTTTTTGCTTAAAACCACGGAAAATCGGGGTTTGGGATGAGAGCTTTGCCCAGCGGCAGCTCGGGGGCTCGGAGTGGGGCTGGAGGGGTTTGGGGGGGAGCGGAAGGAGGAAGGGAGGTGCCATCCCTCGAGCCCCAGCTTGAGCTCCGGTCCGGGGGTTTATCTGCATCTGGGGGGATTTAGGGAAATCATTTAGGGAATGAACGCGTTTCCCCTCCTGCTGCTTGGGCTGGGATGGGACGGTCGGGGGTGCTCTGAGGGGTCCTGGGGCGCTCCTGTGGCACCAGCAAAGCTGAGACCCTCCAGCCTGGGGGTCCCTGGAGATGACGGCTCTGAGGACGAGCAGAGCAAAGGATTTCCAGCATCCCTCAGGCCGTGGGTGATTCCCCGGGAGCGGGGGCTTGGCAGGAGCTGATCCCGAGCCCGGGCTGGCGGGGAATTGCTCTCACACGAGCTGTCCCCTCTGTCCCCGCAGTGTTGCGCTGGCTGGACACCCCCGAGGGACATCAGGACCCTGAAGGACACCGGGACTCGCCGGGACACCGGGAGCCCCGCGGTCCCCACCGGTACCACCTCCTGCTGTCCCGCACCGCGGATTTCCACCGGCAGCTCCGGGTGCTGCAGGCGGAGCTGAAACTCTTCAAGCAGCCGCTGTCCCCTCCCGGCGCCTCGGTGCCACCTCGGGTCACCATCTACACCCTGCGGGGGGCTGAGGGGACCCCCCAGCTCCTGCTGAGCCGAGAGCTGGACCGGGATTCCCGGAGCCTGGAGCTGACAGGGGCCATCCAGCCCTGGCTGGCCGGGCCCGAGGCCACGCTGCGCCTGCGGTTGGATTTCAGCGCAGACGTCTCGGCCGCCCTGGACACCTCCGGGGGGGAAACGCTGGTGCTGGAGGTGGAAACCCAGGAGAAACCGGCTCGGGCGGCCAGGAGAGCTCGGGGGCTGGAGGAGGAGTGCGGGAAGAGCGATGGGAGGTGCTGCCTGAAGTCGCTGAAGGTCTCCTTCCAGGACATCGGCTGGTCGGACTGGGTCATCGCCCCCAGCAGCTACCACATGAGGTTCTGCGAGGGTTCCTGCCCGCACAACTACAAACCGGCCAGCATGCACGCCCAGATCAAATCCCGAGTGCATTCCCTGTCCAAGGCCACCCCCCCGCCCTGCTGCGTCCCCGCCGGCTACGACCCCATGGTGCTGATGCACCTGGACAGCGAGGGCAGGCTGGTGTCCAGCCTCTTCGAGGACATGCTGGTCACCAGGTGCCACTGCGCCTGACGGCAGCGCTGACAGCCCCAGCCGGGATGGGGCAAAGCCATCCCGGCTCCCGGCAGCTCCAGCACCCCAAAATCCAGATCCTGCGGCACCAAGTGACTCCTGTGACAGTCCTGGGGACTCCAGCACCCCAAAATCCAGATCCTGCAGCACCAAGTGACTCCACACCAGCCCTGGATCCACCACTGAGCTCAGCCCTGGGGTCTCCAGCACCCCAAAATCCAGACCCTGCAGCACCACGTGCACCAGCCCTGGCTCTGCTGCTCAGTTCAGCCCTGGGACCTCCAGCTCTGCCACCCAGCTCAGCCCCAGCATCCCCAGTTGTGAACTCTCCCCCACAATAACTTATTCCCCTGCCTCTTTGATTTAAATCCGTATTTTATTGAGCAGGTGGATCCTTCCCACCCAAGAGGTCCCCGATGGGGGGTGGGTCCGTGCCCAGGTGTCCATATCCCACTCCAGACTTCTCTGCTCAGAGACTTATTTATGCAAGTTATTTATTTCTAACTTATTTTATTTTATAGCAAAATAACCTTTTTTAGGGGGTGAAGAGGAAGGGGGGTTTTGTGGTTTTCTATTTTAAATATTTCTATAAAATCAGAAGGATGTAATAATAATGAATAAAGTGATTGTAACGGGGATTCTGGGGGTCTCTGACTGTACCCCTGCTCCTCGGACCCTCAGCTCCCCTGGGATCTGACTCCACATGGATTTGCTGGTAAATCCTCACGGAATTTCCAGTGCCAGCATGTGAGTAATGCCCGGGCACTGCTCCCAGAGACCTTTGAGTTGTTTGCGTCCTTGGGAAGGCACAGCCCTGACCCCTGGGGGGGACACCCAGCCGGGAGGTGACCATTGCCCCATTTCCCAGCCCTGGAACCACCAAAAGGGACCGGGGAACCCCCCTTGGACCCCCAGGGACTCCCCATGGCTCAGTGGGATGGCTCTGCTGGTCACAGCTCCCTTCTGTCCCCTCTTCCAGTGTCACCTGGGGTGTCCTGGGCAGTCCCCCAGCAGCTCCTGGTGGGGACCTGGGCGTGGGGGAGGTGGAATTTGGGATCTCTGCTCTGGAGTGGGGGTTTGGGGACCAGGGGCTGAGGGATTCAAGCTCTGGAGATGGCTCCTCTGGGGACAGGGACTTGAGGGACCTGGTTTTGGTCCCTTGGGACCCCCACTTTGGGGACACAGAGAGTTCCAGGGACTATCCCAGTGGGAAACCCCAGGGTTACCCACAGATCACGAGCTAGGTGAGTAATTAGAGATAATTAAACCGTTTAATGGGGCGACAGTGAAACCTCCCAGGTGCTGAGGTGACACCCAGACAAGCCATGGGTGCCCTGTGTCCCCATGGCACCCAGCAGCTCGGGGTGCCGCCAGGAGGATTAAAAAAAGGAGCATTTTTAGTTCCCCAAAGTGGCGGATTCAGCAGGAAAAGAGGGCGCAGGTGGCACCGGATGTCCCCAACCGCCAGCACGTCCCCAGGCGAGCTCACACCCGGCTCTCCATCGGCCCCAGAAGGGGAAGAGGAAGCCAGGGCCGTGGTCAGCCCCAGCTCCTCCGGCCGGCCCCAGGGACCCCGAGCGTGTCCCGGCCCCGAGGCTCCGGTGCCGGCGGATGCGGCGTCCCCGCGGTCGGTGGCCGCAGCCCGGGAGGAAATGTCAGCTCAGCCCTCACCCCGCTGTGAGAACTGGGGCGCAGGAGGGGACTGGCGCTGCTCAAAAAATCCCCCTGCGAAGGCGTTCTCACGGGATGAGTGTGCGGGAAGCACGCGGGACCCCCACGGCTGTGGGGAATGTCCCCGTCCCCTCCGGG